AGCCACGGTCCCCTCGGTGTGAATGTGATTGAAGTCCAAATGACTGGTCAGCATCAATTACATTACAGATACTTCTTCGGATTTTGTCAAGAATCTTGAGATATACTGCATGAAAACCAGACCAAATATGACAAAAGTATTCCATGTATGGAGGAATGGTAGACTTAAAATGTGTAAGATGGTGACAGTGACCCTTTCTTGCAATAGACAAAGCAATTTATTCGTAGTAGTCATTCTAATTCGAGCCAGTGAAAAATGTGAGGCGAACATTAAAAAAAAAACGTCGTGAAGTCTCTGACATTACGTATAAATGCTTCGTAAACTACACATTGGATATGTGCTGTAGTGGGCAATATATTAATTGGGCAAGCGAATGTGCCTATCAACTAGTGAGTTCAATCCCTGGTTCAACTAGTGAACTACGAATATTCTGCTTCGGAAAGAATTAATATTAAACAGTTTCACCAGGGCAAAATTATACAGTAATAATCCAAAATGAGATATTCTCTATTATCCACAATATTGGGCATTTGAACACCTGAAGTTTGCCATATGACCCTTACTCGAAATATTGTATCTATAATGATGTACATAAGAGTATTATATATGAAATATTTTTCGAATAAATCGAATAAGTTCAGTTAAAGTTTGACACAGCAAAATATACGGTCCTTAGCAAAAGAGACTGCCCTAGAGGGAAGCTACGTACTTGAGATTTAAAAATTAGTCCAGTAAAATCTATAACGAAAATTCAGAAAGATGGGTCCGAAAAAAACAAAAAAAGTTTTATATTTAAGAACAAGAATATTTTGCTTTAAAAATATCAAAAAGTTCTTGCTATCTAACATCAATCTTTTAATTATATGTATGTATGCATAGCTGGTCACTCGTATTCGCCAATGGCTAAAGGTATAGCCGAAAGCGCTCGGAAATACAGAACATTCGGTCAGTTCTTACACACCCTTTGTCCAGAAAAGAAAGCTCTTGTCAGAACACAAGAAAAATTAAATAAAAAGCTCAACTGTAGTACCTTGTCTGTCGTTTTTAATGAAACATGCATAAAGGAAGGATTGCTGCCTAAATATACAAACATCTGTAATTTGAATATTCGGCAGTACCTTTTTGCAAAAGCAAGATAGGCGCGTAGCCGAGTGGTTAGAACGTTCGCTTTCTGACCATGAGACCTGGGTTCGAATCTCACTAGGATCGATTTCTCAGGAAGGAGATTTCCATATGCTATCGGTCTGGAGGAAGCGATCCCAACCTGCGGCACCTTTGGGTCGACCGAAGCCTTGTGATTGAAATTGGGTAGATGTAACCCTCGGGAGTCGTCGATGGCTATGCCAGCACGAAGTCACAAGACATCGTGTCCGAGGGTTTGAGCGTGCTGGCCTTGTTCGCTAGATAACGGTCTCTCTCCCTGGAACTGTCACTAAAGTCCGCTCAGCATAGTAGCAGTATAAACCACAGGTGGGCTCTCTAGCTGTGAAACAAACATAAATGTGCTTGAGCAGGCGTCTGCAATGGGGAGCCGCCCCAGAAGACTCGGATACGAGTGGCTGCACCATTTACATTTATCATCTTTTGCAAACATCCAATAACTACTTTTACTTCATTTATTTACACTATTCGCACTGTTATCCTCATCTTCATTGAATTTTGAGGATTATAAACCCATTGTCTCAGCACTCAAATTTTTACCAATGCTCATAATGCAATTTTATCTTTTCTTATTATTGCATTTTTTACTAGAGCTTATATTGCAATTGTTGTTGTTATTCATAGCTTTAGTCTAGCAATCCTTATTACTGGTTCCCATATTGTAGTAATTTCTATGTTTGGTCGGCTCAGGAGATTTTTTGGCTTAGCATATGTGCTGATTCTTTAAGTTTTCGTATTTTCCAGTGATGTTCTCTGTCTGTTATTTCAACCTCATCTCACATTCAGGTTTTAAGTCCCCAAAATTCATACACCGATAGCCTCAAGGACACATGGCCCAGTGGATAAAAACGATAAGAAATCCAGTGACACAAAGACCTAAAGTGTTGTGAATTCAATACCAGGCCATAGCAGAGTTGAACCAAAACTTGGAGAATTGAGAATGGGAAATAACCGAGACATCGTGGAACTAGAACTATCTACCACGATGGGCGAAATAAAAACGTTCAGTCCTAAATTCCGATCACTTGAAGAAGGCCGGAGCGTACAACGGCCGAAATGTTGTGAATATGGCGATGAGTGGATAACAGTCTGAATAATTTAAATAAAGCAAGTAATTATTATTATTATTATTGTTATATTATTATATATATATATATATATATATATATATATATATATATATATGAAAAATTTCTCAGAGTTAACCTGTAGAAAAAGAGACAATATTTATAAATGTAAAAGAGAATGGAATAACTGTAATAGTTGCCGATGTCTTTCGACCGATGTGGACTTTTTAAGGCAAAAACAAAATGATTTTTTTAAACAAAGTAACTAATAATAACAACAAAACAAAATGTCCTTAATAAGTGGACAAATAAACTAGCGTTCTCTGAATTCCTTCAGTTGCTATTTGCCTTCTACTTGTTCTTTGTCTTCTTTGCGTTCTTTGCCTTTTCTTCTTCAACTACTTCATTACTTCTTGTTCTACTGCTTCTACTGCTTCTACTGCTACTACTGCTTCTACTGCTACTACTGCTTCTACTGCTACTACTGCTACTGCCTCTCTATTATCAACTTTTCACCGTCTTTTTCTTTTTCTTTTTTCGTTCTTTTTTCTTCAGCTTTGTTGTTTCTTTTTTCTTTTTCTTCTGTTTTTCTTATTTTTTTTCGTCTTCTTTTTCTCTTCTTTTCCTCTACTTCTCTATAATTTTTAGATACCTTTTCATCCTTAACAGAATCTTCTTTAAACATTTCTTCTTCTTCTTCTTCTTCTTCTTCTTCTTCTTCTTCTTCTTCTTCTTCTTCTTCTTCTTCTTCTTCTTCTTCTTCTTCTTCTTCTTCTTATTATTATTATTATTATTAATATTCTCAGCCTTCTTCTTCTTCTTCTTCTTCTTCTTCTTCTTCTTATTATTATTATTATTATTATTATTATTCTCAGCCTTCTTCTTCTTCTTCTTCTTCTTCTTCTTCTTCTTCTTCTTCTTCTATTACTACTACTTCTATATTATTGCCTTTTTCATCATCAATTTCTTTTCTTTTTTTCTTCTTCTCTTTCTAATTGTTTTTCTTCTTTTTTCCTTCTCTTACCACTTTTTTCTTTTTTCTGTTTTTATTATTCATTTTTTTTTCTTTTCTTTTTATCCTATTTTTTCTCCTCCGCGTCCATGGAACACCTTTTTAATATCATGCAAATCAAAATTTGAGTAATTTTTTTGGCTGTCATTTAAACCAAATATTTGATTAACTATTTGACTGTCAAGAAATCCAAATATATGACAAATATTTTGCCTGCCATGAAGATCAAACTTTGACAAACATTCTGACTGTGATGCAAATCAGACCTTAGACAGTGGTGCTAACGTGCTAAAGCAAACATGTCTACATTTTTTACTCTTATGCAAGCCAAAACTTAGGACAACGATCCGAACAATGTAAATAGTGTAAAAACCTACAATACCTCATCTCATAAATATAGACACCCTGGAGAAAGAAGGAGTGTTCAACGACCGAAACGTCGCGAATATGACACAGATGAGAACAACAGTTCGAGCAATATTAATAGTATAAATATTAGGTTGGTGCAAAAATAATGACGTAATAATGTTGTTTTTTGACGTATTTTTAAACGTCAAAAAACGACATTATTACGTCATTATTTTGCACCAACCTAATAGTTACTATACCTTATCTCAGAAATATAGACAGATCCTGAAGAAGGTACATCGACTGAAGGGTCATGAAAATGAAAATAACGATGAGGACAATAGTCCGAACAATGTAAATAGTGTAAATAGTTAAAATAACTCATGTCAGAAATATAAACTTATGTTAAAGAAGGCCGGAGCGTACAATGGCCAAAACATCATGAATATGACAATAACGTTGAGGGCAACAGTCCGAACAATGTAAATAGTGTAAATAGTTACAATATCTCATCTCGGGAATATAGACAGATTCTGAAGAAGGCCGGAGCGTACAACGGCCGAAACGTCATGAATATGACAATAACGATGAGGACAACAGTCCGAACAATGTAAATAGTGTAAATAGTTACAATATCTCATCTCAGGAATATAGACAGTTCCTGAAGAAAACCGGAGTCTCCAACGGCTGAAACTTCGTGAATATGACAATAAAGATGAGGACAACAGTCCAAACAAATTATATATTGTAAATATATTCCTAGCTGTTTTCACTGTATTGTAAATATATGCCTATGTGTTTGTAAGTAAACAAAACATGTATCTAAATTTTTTGCGCAAACCGAACCCATAAATTCATTCCTATTCTTGATTGAAAAGGTAGAATTTGGCATTAAATAGCCTTGAAAATCTTGATATGCCGTAAAAAACACAAAGCACAGCCACACAATTTTTTTTATTTGTGGTCTTTATTTTACTTCTGTTAATTTTTTGGGCAGAATCGTTTCTCTTTTTTTGAGACATTCTCAAACTTTATCTCTTTCTTTGGCTACAAATTTCATGAATTTTCTTCTTTATTTTTCTATTACGCTTCCAACCATTCTTATTTTTCGTTAGACTATTTTTATTCTTAAACGATGAAGATGACACTTTCTAAATTTCTCTATCTTTCAGGGATATTTTTGTTAAAAAAATTAAAATCACTTCTCTTTTTTTTCTCCTTTCATTTCCTCCCAAAGTAATATGTCATCCATTAATATTCTGCGTTTTCCCTATCATCTGTCGACCTCGTACGTACATGTAATTTTTGGCCCTTAGCTCGGCCCATCTCTAAATACATTAATTTCCTTGTGTCGACATGAAAATTCCTTCGGCAAGGGGTGATGATCGTGAAAATGGGAAAATCGGTTGAAATTAATCGAGACAAATGCGAATATATTTGACTTCATTTGGATTCTCTAGCCTACAGGTGATCTATGGAAAAGATAATACGTGGTATCTTCAGCGTACATGAATGATGCAATGTAATCTCAGTATACATGACCTACTAAATGAAACAAACTAGGTGAATTATCCAGAAAATATCTATCTATCTATCTATATATAGATAGATTAGGAACGAACTGGGGTATATATATATATATATATATATATATATATATATATATATATATATATATATAGAGAGAGAGAGAGAGAGAGAGAGAGAAAGAGATAGATAGATAGATAGATAGGGAAGAATTGAAACAGAGATAAGGTGATGTGAATTTGATAAGTTGATATGCCGCAAACTGGGTCAGACAGACAGACAGACAACCAGACAGACTGATAGATAGATAGATAGATAGATAGATAGATAGATAGATAGATAGATAGATAGATATTAAAGTATTGAAACAAATAAGTTGATGTGAATCTGATAAGTTGTTATGCAAAGACGGGGATAGATAGATAGATAGATAGATAGATAGATAGATAGATAGATAGATAGATAGATAGATATGAATAGAGTGAGATAGATTTAAATATTAACAATCATATAGCTCATATTAAAAATACCTACTCTCTCAATATATCGTAGTATATTCATATATGTCTACCTATATATTTCCGTTTATTCATTTCTACCCATCGATCTATCTCTATACTTCAGTTTAATTATATGTATCGATATAAGTTAAGGTCTGCTGCGGCATAATTGAAGAAAAATACAGAGCGAAGTAAAAATAACGTAAAATGAACGAAAGGAAGAAGGAAAAAGAGAGAAAGAAAGATCGATGGAAAAATAGTGAATTATTTTGTCGAGAAAGGCGAAATGAAAGAAAGAAAAATTCTAGAAAATTATTTAAGAAAAAAGCATAATTAAATGGAAAAATAAAGAAAAAATAACGTAAAGATTGAAAGAATGAACCAGAAAGAAAGAAAGAAAGAAAGAAAGAAAGAAAGAAAGAAAGAAAGAAACAGAATGGAAGTAAGTAAGTTCGACGGACAAATAACAAAAAAATATGTACGGAAAGACAAAAAGAAAGAATGAAAGTCGGGCAAATAACGAAAAATGATGTAGAGAAAGACAAAAAAAAAAATATGTAACGAAAAAAGACAAAAAAAAAAGAAAGAATGAAAGCCCGTCGGGCAAATAACGAAAAATGATGTAGAGAAAGACAAAAGAAAAATGAAAAAGAATAACGAAAAATGATGTAGGGCAACAAACGAAAAATGAGCGCGTCGGACAAATAACGAAAAATGAAAGACAAAAAGAAAAGAATGAAAGCGCGTCGGGCAAATAACGAAAAATGATGTAGAGAAAGACAAAAAGAAAGAATGAAAGTGCGTCGGACAAATAACGAAAAATGATGTAGAGAAGGACAAAAAGAAAGAATGAAAGCGCGTCGGACAAATAACGAAAATGAAAATGATGAAAGAATGAAAAGCGTCGGACAAAACGAAAAATGATGTAGAGAAAGACAAAAGAAAGAATGAAAGCGCGTCGGACAAATAACGAAAAATGATGAGAAAGACAAAAAAAAAAAGAAAAAGTGCGTCGGGCAAATAACGAAAAATGAAAGAAAGACGTCGGAAAGAATGAAAGCGTCGGACAAAAAAAAAATGATGTAGAGAAAGACAAAAAGAAAGAATGAAAGCGCGTCGGACAAATAAAAAAAATGATGTAGAGAAAGACAAAAGAAAGAATGAAAGCGCGTCGGACAAATTACGAAAATGATGTAGAGAAAGACAAAAAAGAAAGAATGAAAGAGCGTCGGACAAATTACGAAAAATGATGTAGAGAAAGACAAAAAGAAAAGAATGAAAGCGCGTCGGACAAAAAACGAAAAATGATGTAGAGAAAGACAAAAAAGAAAGAATGAAAGTGCGTCGGACAAATAACGAAAAATGATGTAGAGAAAGACAAAAAGAAAGAAATGAAAGCGCGTCGGACAAAAACGAAAATGATGTGAGAAAGACAAAAAAGAAAGAATGAAAGTGCGTCGGACAAATAACGAAAAATGATGTAGAGAAAGACAAAAAAAAAAATGATGTCGGGCAAATAAGAAAAAAAAAAAAAAAAAGAATGAAAGTGCTTCGGGCAAATAACGAAAAATGATCTAGAGAAAGACAAAAAAGAAAGAATGAAAGCGCGTCGGACAAATAACGAAAAAATGATGTAGAGAAAGACAAAAAAGAAAGAATGAAAGTGCGTCGGGCATATAACGAAAAATGATGTAGAGAAAGACAAAAAAGAAAGAATGAAAGTGCGTCGGGCAAATAACGAAAAATGATGTAGAGAAAGACAAAAAAGAAAGAATGAAAGTGCGTCGGGCAAATAACGAAAAATGATGTAGAGAAAGACAAAAAAGAAAAGAATGAAAGTGCGTCGGACAAATAACGAGAAATGATGTAGTGAAAGGCAAAAAGAAAGAATGAAAGCGCGTCGGACAAATAACGAAAAATGATGTAGAGAAAGACAAAAGGAAAGAATGAAAGCACGTCGGGCAAATAACGAAAAATGATGTAGAGAAAGACAAAAAGAAAGAATGAAAGTGCGTCGGACAAATAACGAAAAATGATGTAGAGAAAGACAAAAAGAAAGAATGAAAGTGCGTCGGGCAAATAACGAAAAATGATGTAGAGAAAGACAAAAAGAAAGAATGAATGTGCGTCGGACAAATAACGAAAAATGATGTAGAGAAAGACAAAAAGAAAGAATGAAAGTGCGTCGGGCAAATAACGAAAAATGATGTAGAGAGAGACAAAAAAAAGAATGAATGTGCGTCGGGCAAATAACGAAAAATGATGTAGAGAAAGACAAAAAGAAAGAATGAAAGTGCGTCGGGCAAATAACGAAAAATGATGTAGAGAAAGACAAAAAGAAAGAATGAAAGTGCGTCGGACAAATAACGAGAAATGATGTAGTGAAAGACAAAAAGAAATAATGAAAGCGCGTCGGACAAATAACGAAAAATGATGTAGAGAAAGACAAAAGGAAAGAATGAATGTGCGTCGGGCAAATAACGAAAAATGATGTAGAGAAAGACAAAAAGAAAGAATGAAAGCCCGTCGGACAAATAATGAAAAATGATGTAGAGAAAGACAAAAAGAAAGAATGAAAGCACGTCGGGCAAATAACGAAAAATGATGTAGAGAAAGACAAAAAGAAAGAATGAAAGCTCGTCGGACAAATAACGAAAAATGATGTAGAGAAAGACAAAAAGAAAGAATGAAAGTGCGTCGGGCAAATAACGAAAAATGATGTAGAGAATGACAAAAAGAAAGAATGAAAGTGCGTCGGACAAATAACGAAAAATGATGTAGAGAAAGACAAAAAGAAAGAATGAAAGTGCGTCGGACAAATAACGAAAAATGATGTAGAGAAAGACAAAAAGAAAGAATGAAAGTGCGTCGGGCAAATAACGAAAAATGATGTAGAGAAAGACAAAAAGAAAGAATGAATGTGCGTCGGGCAAATAACGAAAAATGATGTAGAGAAAATCAAAAAGAAAGAATGGAAGCGCGTCGGACAAATTACGAAAAATGATGTAGAGAAAGACAAAAAGAAAGAATGAAAGTGCGTCGGGAAAATAACGAAAAATGATCTAGAGAAAGACAAAAAGAAAGAATGAAAGCGCGTCGGGCAAATAACGAAAAATGATGTAGAGAAAAAATTAAGTAGAAAAAGAAAAAAGTAAGAAAGAATAATAAAGAAAGAAAGAAAAATGTATAAAAAAAAGGAAAAAAAAAGAAGAAAAAGAAAGAAAGTAAAAGAAGGAAGGAAAAAAAGAAAGAAAAATGAAATTAAGAAGGGAAAAAAAAATAAAGAACAATGGCATTAAATAAATGTTCGAGAAAATCTATCCTTGACAGAAAATCTTGATTTATGCCTGAGATATTTGCCAGATTTCATTTTTCGACCTCAACTATAATCTCAGGATATTCAATGCTGATTTTAATGGCAGGTGCTATAGACTTTGGTGTATTGCAGTCAGCATCCCCCACTCTCCATTGATCTTGTGTTAGACTATGTTGAGCTTAAAAATTCAAGAAGAGTGACGAGGTTTTGAGAATTTGCAGAAGCATTTGAAGACGACGACAAAAGGAAATATGGAAGATATTTTTGGCTAGAAGAATTTCAGGTTTTGTTTCAAGACAATGAATGAATATCCGGCTCGATTTTCTTTCAATTTCCTTCTTTCTTTTAAGCTCATTCTAGCGAACTTTCTCTTACATTATAAACAAGAAGAGAAGTTTCCTTTCTCTCTGGCATCTACTTGTAGAGAATTTAATTAATAAACTTTAAACTTGATTTATTTAAGGAAAAGCGCTTAAAATGAAATAGGACAAAAGATTTCAGAAAAGAAAAAAAAAAAGAAAAAAGGAAAAAAAAAAGGAACTGCAAAAGGAAATTAAGAACGAGAGATAGAAAGAAAAGTTGTAGGAAAGAGGTATCAAGGAAGAAAGACGTGGGAAGAAATAATTAAAAATGTACGATAAAGAATAATGTATGAAAAAAAGAAAGAAAAACATAATGAATGAAATGAACAAAGAAAGAAAGAAATGAATAATGAAAAGAAAGAAGGAAACGTCGCGAATATGAGAACATCCCCAACAATGTAAATAGTGTAAAAACTGCATTACCTCATCTCAGAAATACAGATAGATCATGAAGAATGCCGGAGCGTACAACGACCGAAATGTCGGGGATATGACAATAAAGATGAGGACAAAAGTCTGAACAATGTTAATAGTGTAAATAGTTACAATTCCTCATCTCAGATATATAGACAATCCTGAAGAAGGCCGGAGCGTATAAAGACCGAAACGTTAGGAATATAACAATAAAGATGAAGACAATAGCCCGAATAATGTAAATACTGTAAACAGTTACAATACCTCATTTCAGAAATACACACAGATCCTGA